TTCCGCAGTAATTTGGTTTGGTTGGATCGGCAACGCGGGACCTCTCTATCGGTCCTCATTTTACTATCTCACAATATTAAGAAAATTAAATAAAATAAAAATTACTCACAATATCCTGATAGTTGATATGGTTAAGTTAATAATCATTGTCTTTTCATCAAATTTTGTATACAATTCTTTATGACCATACTTGTTTAAAAAAGCTTCACCCTTATTGATGTCTGATATGGCTGATTTTTTGATTAACATTTGTTTTATTTCTTCATCTTTTAGTACATCAAGGTCAGATCTATTAATTTTATGAGTTATTCTAAATTCATCTTTAAAATTCGATAATGTTGTATACAAATCTGATTCTTTCTTTTTTTTATCTTCGAAATTGATAATACCATATCTCATTAGATCACTAAAAATAAAACAATAAAATTTCATTGGTTCAAAAAACAAGTGCAAATATTTATACATAGATATATTATTAACATTAATAAATACTCGTTTTTGGTATTGTCATGTATTGATTTAAATTGATCCTCTAATTTTTTCAAAGTCTAAAATATTAAAGGATGTGTTAGTTTTCTAAAAAAAATTAATAAAAATGAAATAATACATTAATAAATTTATTCACATCATTGTAACCAACACCAAATGATGGTGACTTTTTTACAGTAATTTCATATTTATTGGTATCAGAATTAATCAAAGCGTCTGTTGGTGTTAAACGTTTAATGCTATAAATACAAAAAGTCAATATTTTAATTTAGATGCCAAATATATAATGACCAATGACCATTACCATCATTCTTGAATGAAACTAGAATGGCAACAAGTTGCGATGACTGGCAACAACAACCATAATGATAAATACTTACTCATTTAAATCGCCAGATTTGTCTTCGTGTTTTCTCAATTTTTTGTAAAGAGACATTTTTTTAAATTAATTGGTAAAAAAAAATCTTATGATACACAAACACAATTATGTATGTGTGGTTGTACAAATAAGCCCCTATTGTTGACGCGATTGAATTTTTTTTTTTTTTTTTTTTGGAAAAACAATTTATTTTTTACAAGACGAGAAAGCGTGAATGTCGTAGTTTGGTATGGCTGGTTCTAAAGAAGACAAGGTGTTATTTATTAATGGCGAGAGGCACTATTTTTTATTTATGTATTTTTTTTATAAATAGTTTTATAAATGTATCTTTTATTTTATATAAATATATTTTGCTGAAATCAAAACGTGGATGGAACAGAACTTGTCCGTCTCATTAGGTATTTATTATAGAATTTTTATCAAGATAATATACGATTAGTATCATTTTGCTTTTCGTAATAATCATTACTAATATTAATATTAAATAATTATAAGATGTCAAGGCAACACAACTGACTGTTGCAGATGAGGAAACAATTCGATATGTAACATTTTCATAATTGTAAATTTTACAGATGTCAAGGCACACACGCTACATTGAACACTTTATAGTCATTCTCACATTCCTCATGTTTACAAGGCTAACCTGACCTGCCTCGCCCTATGGGTATGATGATGCAATTAAATTTCCAGGGGGGTGGCGCATGGCCCTGGAATTTATTCGAGATTGCATCAACATCAAGGATGCTTTTGCAAATCCTACCTCATCTTTCCTCATACTGTCTGACTAGAGAAGACTGCTGACATGCTGGCCGAAGTTGACTGCAACAATCCTACCTCAGGGGTGAAGGTGTCTGGCTATGCAACCAAAAAGTTGTGCAACTCTGGATTTTGCAACCTGGGTTGAAGAGTTGTGATTTTAGGTGTACATCAACATCTAGATTCATTGACGCAATGAGAAATTGCTGCAACTTGTTTCAAGCTCAGGCAGGAATTTGCAATTCAGAGTGGGATTGGGACTCTGAAATTGAATTTGTGCGTTCTGATGTTAAGAGGAAAGTCATAAGTAGTTTTTGTTTTAATGACTATCTCTCTTTCTTGATACTAACTGAATTTATAATTTTGGGAGGGGACATGGGCTTTTGCCCAATGGTCCCTTCTCTATAGATTAAATTATATATTAATATCTTTTTGTCAAATGCCAACACTGATCCCTAGCATCAAAGTGGAATTCTTTGTGCTTTTTTCAAAAAGGATCAAGAAAAAAATAATAAACAGTTTGGATATTGGTATATATGTTTTGCACAAATTAATCATTTTTTGAAATTTCTTTTTCTTGGTAAATTTTTAATTTGGTTAATCAATTTTATTGTTTTTTAAACAGGGTAGTGATGGGCTTTTGCCCAAATAGTCCCTCTTCCAGGTAGGTGGCCCTGACAAAACCGGCAACCCAGGTTCCGAACTCCCAAGTTGTAGAATTTCATACCAGTTGCAGATGCCAATTTTATGCTAGTGGAGCAGCAATCATTGCACAGATGCCAACTCTTGTCAACAATCAATGTTGTATGGTAACAGCCAAGCTCGGTCTGGGGAAAAGATAAAGGAAAATTTAGTAAACCTTACAAAAGCCTTCCAACAGAGGGCACCCTTATCTGTGGAAAAATTTCCACAGTCATGAGGCGTGCTTAATTGCACCCAAACTTGTGTTTGTGATAGGAAAGTTTTATTAAATCTGACACCTGTTATTATAATCAGATTTATTATTCATAAGGAACTATATAATTGGAATTAAGAAAAATTTTTTTTTGATCCTCTCCAATTATTTATTCATTTATTTTTTGTGGATTTGGGGTAGATGCATACATTATTGTTTGAAAAATCGGGTTCCTTAAAAAATTTCATTTCTGCATGGTCTTGGTATTATTTATTACTTGGATGATGCAATTGTTTGTTATGTTAATGATGACATCAAATGTGTTGGATAATCATTGTGATAGATGTGAGGACATATATGAGGAAAGGATTAAATAACAACAAAAAGCTAAGTCATGTTTATTTTCTATCCAACCAAGATATATAATTTAATTATAATTATTTTATTCCACTATTGCAATGTAAGGTATTATTCTGAATCATTTGTTTATTTAGCATTAATGATTGAATCAATCACACAGGTGGTAGTCAACTTAAATGGCATTTAAATGAAATGATATTTTTTTAAAAGATGTTTTTATAATAATGATTTTAATCTTTTTTGATAAATGTAAATCTTTATTAATATTGTCACCAATTATTTTTGGGAGAGCGTATTTTAATTGATGATAACAAATTTTTAT